AACTAGACCTGGGCTCTCCAACTGATTCTCCAGGTATTACAGAATTGCGTGACAGACACACACATACAGACAGACATTGCGCTTTGTATATACTGGTATGAAAAACTTTCGGAAGAAAGTAACTTTTTTATGGTATGCGCTTTTGTGAATGATGTCACGCACATAAAGAACCGCAAATAGTGTAGAAAACTACTCCCGGAAACACTCAAGGGGGCGTCCTCAATTGCTTAGTTGTTTAGTGCAATCACACTGACCTCTATGAGCGAATTAGATCCAAAAGCATTTGCGAAGGAGTTCAGTACTACAATAGCGTTGACCGAGAGTTTAGAGCGTTCGAAAGTTCATAGTGCAATACGCCTTCGCAACACTGTGTCTCCCTGCATCCGTGCACCTGGATCCAAGAAGATCCTGCTCAGTAAAGTTCCCGAAACATTACTTGTTCCCACTCCTCGACATTTTGAAGTATGCCCGGAATCATTACTCACACTCTGGGAGGAGCCCATGATCCTCCCCTTGACAGATTCCCCCTAGACACCATTGCAAAAGTCTTCGCCGAAGAATGGTTGCCGACAAAACGTGAGGCACTGATCGTCATGTAGAACGACTATTTCCATTCGGTCGCCATGCCGCTATTCAGCTAAAAATTGGGTGCTTTGGAATTCTGCCGGATGTGCCTGGCACCGCATTTGTAACTGACGTGAATTCATTCTTTTCTGTTGCAAGACTAGTGCTCGTCTGCTGCTGCAGCTTACTGTAGTCGAACCTCCTCCCGTCCTTAGTGCAGCAATACCTACGGTTTGAAACCCTCTCCATGCCCATGGAAGGACGTGGTAAGCAATGCAGTCCCGACAAGTACGCGCCACACTTCCTTCTTGTACCAAATTTTCGGCAATTCTTCGTCGTATGTGGTCATCCATTTCATTTCTCCGGGCCATGTTGTATTGAAAAACACCATCATGGGGTGCCTCTGCAGGCCATAAAGTTCTTAAAGTTGCGTAACGCCATATAAAAGGTGATCTGAGATCCTTTGATGCAAACCTTTCTGTGCACGACTGAAATGAATTTGGCAACATGCTTCCGCCACACTCATGCAATTCCATCTGATTGCAGATAATTTATGCTACTTCATCTAACTCGTCCATGACTTTCACATACCAGTATACTATGAGAATAGGGATTACAGCCAGTAGTATAGAAAACCCTACCTTCTTCACAGCACCGGCAAGTTCTTCAGCAGTGTAACGTGGAGTGCCGTTGTCGTCAAACACATGCATTGTTTTAATATAGTTGCACAGAGAGTTCACTTCAGAAACTTGCTCCTCACTAGCCAATCCACGTCTCTGCCTTTCAGCTAGAAGACACAATTTTCTACGGCTAAATTGAGATTAAATGTTAAACACATCAACAGCTTGAAGCATGCTTCTTGCATCCATGACATCTATTGTACTTTCCATCACACACGTATACATAGCTTTTTGCTTTTTTAAATTTATTCTGTAGATCATATATTGGCATACCTGTGAACGACGTCATTCATAGACTGGTCAAATATTAATTTTACCAAGGCCTTCTAGGGCATTGCACATCTCTAGCTTCACTCATTCTTCGTTTTCATTTGGCTTCATGAAGTTCAAATGAAAAGTAGTTTTTTGTTGTGCTTGAAGAATCAAGACGGAAATGATATTGATATCCACGGCGACACCAGTTAAAACCTTTTGCTTTTCGCTGGCATCACACGCCTTTTCGCAAAGCTCTGCTAACAATATATTGGAAAGTGTATAACGCGAAAGCTAGTAGAGTGGTATCGACCACAGCCCTCAAAAAAAGGACAGTAGTCGTAGCGGTCGTTAGTAATGAGATATACAGTATGGCCGCAAATGATGGTAACAAGGTAATGTTGTCATAAAAATTTGGGGCATTTAAAAACACAAACGTATGGCTAAAATATATTCAGTTAGGGCGAACAAACACAGGAAACAATGTTACATATCAAAACAGCCGCAGTGAACAGTGGTACAGGAGCCAATTCTTCTGGAGTTCATTGGCCGCGGGGCGTAGAAATGGGAAGTCGTCCTTGTTCTACGCTATTTGGAGCAGTTTCTCAAGCTCGTAGACCTTACACTCAAGGCACTATTGTCTTCAGCTATCCAAGTACCCTCCCTTCAAAAACGAGAAGAGCGTCGGGTGCAGACCATACACCACAAGTGACGACGGCCTCCAAGTAAATCTGGTTAGTAGTGGTTCATAGTGATAGCTGATTTTGGTAAATGATAGTTGTAATTAGTGACAACTGATAGAATACAACTGCAACAGGCTAATCATTTCATTGGCAGAAAACATTTACATTTTGTGGAGGCCGTCGTCACTTGTGGTGTATGGTCTGCACCCGACGCTCTTCTCGTTTTTTAAAGAGGGTATACAGTGCGTTGCAAAATCATAGGACACCCCCCAAAAATATGAATATCTCGGCTTCTAGAAAAAGCCGTCTATCGCAACTGGTAGAATCAGAACCGCCTCTATAAAAAACCTATACAAACAAGTAGCCAGATCATCCGAATAGTTTTCCGTATTTTTAGACAATTTTTTTTAGTTCTGTAGCCCCCACAACCTTTTCCATCAGAGGCTGGGCAGTCGCCAGTATCAAGCCATTCAGCTTCGGCACAACGAGATACACTTTCCCAAGTTCAGTCTTTTATTCTGCAACTCAATCGTTACGAGGACACCACCACTTCGTTGGCACTTAGGAAGGGGATCATGAAGAAACTGCCTCGTGAAACATTGGAACTACAAACTAAAACACCGCGCAGGAAAAACGTGGAACTCATCAGAACTTCTAGACGAACTTAGCGAGGTCACTAACGAAGTGGAGAAGCTGGAAGACTACAATATCACTTCTACTCACTCGACGACTCACGGGAGTACTCTATCTGATCTGCTGACTCCGCACGTGCTCTAAGAAAACTACCATCGCCATCACTAAGAACACGCATGTTACGAAGAAGAAGCATGTTACACAGGAGTCAGTTTCCGCATCCGTTCCGACTTCGTGGACGTTTGATTCGATTGGCTCGATAGGGCGTGGAACGTTTAGATGTTTGATTCAAGTTGGGCTTCAGGACATCAAGGTGCAGCGCAGTCGACGCCGACGTTCAGTTAGTTGGATCTCAGTTGCCTATTGTAATTTTGTTGTTTACTAGTTTTTGTCCGTAATTTAGTAGTGCTTTATAGATTTACTTTTATGAAGTTCTTTGCTTCGTTGTCACAATTTGTTGTATAGTTTTTGAGCGCCCTTAAGGCCTCATTTTGCTAGACGCCACTTGGAGCTTTACTTACTCCATTGCATGGTTCATAAATGTCTCTGTTCTTTTTATGCTGTAGACCGACGGGTTGTGAGCACCCTTCTCCAACTCCTTTCGCCGCCCGGAGTGTCCTGAATAGCGTACGACCTGGGTACCACGATATGCGCCGGGATGAAACCGCGCTCCAATTCGAAGTCGCATGCGGTCTTACCGCGAACAGTGGAATGCACTGGAAGCGCGAGGAAAGTTAGTTACGCGCGCAGTGGGTCACTCAAGTCAATTCAGTTCTCGTCGGCTCATCAACAAATGCAGTCGGTTAGACCAGTCCAGCGCAGTCGGTCCATTTTCTTCTTGTCTGAGTCGGAGAAGCCATCTACCCGCCCAAGTTGGTGGACCAGCCATATCGTCCTGACCCTGACCCAGGGATTCCTTGCACGCAACATCGTGCAACAACATGTAGATCGTACTTCCTTTTCTTTAGTTCATCTCTCTCTCCACATCAGGTATGCTTGAATGTCTGTATTTATTATGTAAGTGTTGTATATTTCTACTTCTTATACTAGTTGCCTAATGCCAACACAGCCACCGGTCATAAATAATCGTAGTATTCCGCGTGCTAGTGTGGCAACCGTAGACGGTCTATCCATGTTTATTTCTTCGTAGATACAACACAGCATACAGTGCGCGTCAATTGCTATATGCCACCCCCTGATTTTTTCAGTTTTCTGACTTATTTGGAAATTTCGTAAATCGGCATAGCAACCATCGTTTTCGGCGTGTCGGAAAACTAAGAATGGTGTTGTTTGATTTTGGTTAACGCGTGGATTTGAATTGCTCTGTTCTTTTGAAGAAAATGGGCCGCGTCAATTGCTTATGCCATCCTAAAGTTTCTTCGGAATTTCTCATGTCTCTAACGCTATTCAGCTACGGTGTGCATGTAATACAAATGAGGAAATCCTCCACTTATGCAATGCACACAAATGGTGGAGCATTTATAACTAATTAGTTCGGAATATTAGCCCTTATACTGGACGGTAGCAGCATGAAAACGCTTTATCAGAGAAAGTGCTGTGTGCTCACTTTTGCGATCGCTCCTGCTGCTTATTGTAGAACTCATCGAGGAGTGTATCCAGGCAAAACTGGGGAAATTGAAGTGCTCAAGGAGCTCTTAAATTCACATTTTCCCGCTTCGAATCCGTGGTCAACTTTATTTGTGGTCTCGGCTCCCTGCGAAGCTCGAAGCGTTCACGCTCACAAAGTCTCTGTTCAGAGAGAATATGAGTTGCACTCACAATCCGCGTAGTACCCATCGCCGAACTTTGTCGGATTCTCTCTGGAAAAATTTTCGTACCGAGCGAGCGAAAATGATGACATGGGCCAGTTGTAACTTGAACGGGACACCGAAGTGGTGGCATGGGCCGTCATTGCATCGCCTTTATCAGAGATACCTTGGTCAAGCCACCACCTCGGTGTCCCGTTCAAGTTACAACTGGCCCATGTCATCATTTTCGCTCGCTCGGTACGAAAATTTTTCCAGAGAGAATCCGACAAAGTTCGGCGATGGGTACTACGCGGATTGTGAGTGCAACTCATATTCTCTCTGAACAGAGACTTTGTGAGCGTGAACGCTTCGAGCTTCGCGGGAGCCGAGACCACAAATAAAGTTGACCACGGATTCGAAGCGGGAAAATGAGAATTTAAGAGCTCCTTGAGCACTTCAATTTCCCCAGTTTTGCCTGGATACACTCCTCGATGAGTTCTACAATAAGCAGCAGGAGCGATCGCAAAGTGAGCACACAGCTCTTTCTCTGATAAAGCGTTTTCATGCTGCTACCGTCCAGTATAAGGGCTAATATTCCGAACTAATTAGTTATAAATGCTCCACCATTTGTGTGCATTGCATAAGTGGAGGATTTCATATTACATGCACACCGTAGCTGAATAGCGTTAGAGACATGAGAAATTCTGAAGAAACTTTAGGATGGCATAAGCAATTGACGCGGCCCATTTTCTTCAAAAGAACAGAGCAATTCAAATCCACGCGTTAACCAAAATCAAACAACACCATTCTTAGTTTTCCGACACGCCGAAAACGATGGTTGCTATGCCGATTTACGAAATTTCCAAATAAGTCAGAAAAACTGAAAAAATCAGGGGGTGGCATAGCAATTGACGCGCACTGTAGTCACCTTCGTCGTAGTTCACCCAGGGTAAAGGCCCTTCTTAGCCCGTGGCAAGGCACCGCTGAACATTCGGCGCGGCAGGTGCATCCCGTAAGGGTGTGTGGACACCCAAGAACTTCCACGTTCTGGGGTCCAGATGCGGGAACCCCGATGCGCTCTCCATCGGCACCTGGTCACGACAGATTCTCCACTGGAAGAGGCATGGCAGCAAAAGCGAGCTTCGAAGACCCAAAGAAGGTTCTGCTCTCCGTACTTTGTAGTGCCTCAAACTGACCTCAAACGAAGACGCTACCTCTAGCACAGACATCTAGTGTCAACAGCTAGGTAGACTTGTTGCGAATTTCGCAATGTTGCGGCTAACTGTAGATGAAATTGTCCAATAGATGACAACCTCGACCACATGTCGAAAACCAAAGTCAGAAGGCTATACAGTAACTTGGCTTTCTGGATCTCCCCTATCAGTTAGATTTGATGATAACGTAGGAATCAACGACGTTTGTCAGCAACTCTGCTCAAATCCTAAAGAAAGAGAGCCACGACGATGGCGCACCTCAAAACAGACCTTCGACCATTCTTTGCGTCCAAGACTAAACAGTTCTGAAAGAAAGGCACCCTTTGCCGAGGAGTAGACAGAGGACAGTTGTGGGCAGCTGTGGTAATTATAGCATTAAAAAACCTTTGAAATAAGGAAAGTTACCAAGTCTTGAGTGTTAGTATCGAGAGCGGACATTACCTATGGCTCAACCTAATAAAAAATGATCGTCAAAAATCTTTTGCAAGAATTAGCGCTTAATTCCCATCTCAGTCCACAAACGGCGGTTCAATTTTCCAGATTCCAGAGAGATTCTTAATATTACTCTTGGTAGCAACAATATCCTCTCTTCCATGTCCACATCAATTGTCGCAGACAGCTCACTGACCGTTGAAATAAGCGAATGGTTCCACAAGGATGTGAAGGCTTACAAGAAATAA